ATTTTTGGGGAAAATAACTAAGAAAACTACATGCACTACAAAGCAATCTGGGAAAAAAAAAAGAACATTGTCCAGATCCAAAAACAGACACTGTCCAGATCCAACCGAAAGGGGCGCTAACGATATTAACCACGCAAACGCTGACATAAAAACCACATATTTAATTGGATTAGAACGCCTGGGAAGTTTGATGTGTACTTCCAGTGCAGACGATTTGCCTCCCCTCATGCGCGTGTTGAGGGGAAACTGGCTGCAAAGCGTACCACGCTGAGAGATGTGCACCAAGGACTCTCGAACTGTCGTTTCTCAGTCTATTTTATATCTCTTTTCTGATACGATTCTACCACAGCTAACTCACTTCCCTGCTCTCTAACCACTTTGACTCTGACTGAATAATCGACTCTGTCTTGCTCTAATCAACTCTGGTAGAGTCTCTACAAACTTTATAGCACGCCCTTATATATTCACATTTTAAGGATATTTAAATGATATCTATGATTGGCATTGCAAGGTTTAAAAGAAAATTGTGGTTTGTTATGTTTTTAGTACATTGCAACGAAGTTTAATATGCATTGAAGTACAAGACTTCCACGCTCGTAAATTTTTGTCATACCCCCTCAAGACTACAGTATTTTGACAAACCACTTTTAATCAGCGACGCAAGGTAAATTGTAGATAAATCAGTGACATTACTGAGGACGGAATTAGAGGAATTCGACTTATTAGAAATCTAGTTGCTTTTGTCACCAAAGGTAAAACATTTCAATATGATATCGTATTAAATTTTAAAATCAGGGTCACTGCTAATGACCATAGTTATATCTTCAGGATGTCATTCGTTCCAAGGCATCAATTACACTTCACCTCAAAAGGAATTTAACTATGCTCTTAAAAATAACTTGGAAAAGTGAAAAAAAGCTGTTTCTCCCCAACTTCTTTCGCTTTCACGCCAACACCCTCACGTTTTGCTACACATCGAAATTTGTCTTCCCTATCTGAAATGATGTACACTAGTTTACCATTATCCTTTTCTGTAAAACTATCGATAATGTATTGAGGAATATACAAATTTGCATACTTAAATTGTACATCGGCGTCTTCAAAAGAGACCTTTCCTTCGCGCACACGAGTCAAGTTAATACGAGTATTTCATCTGCAGCTAGCGTTATTTCCCTGTCTAGCGAAAAAGGTTTTATATTTCGATGAAGGCGACACTCAGTTCTGCCATCACTGTACCTTATGATTCGTACTCCAGTCACAGG